GGGGGTTAAGCCTGCACAGGACTACCGCTTACCACCCTCAGGCTAAACGGCCTCTGTGAGCGCTTCCATCGCTCCATGAAGGCGTCCCTCAAGGCCGGCCTTACGGACGGCAAACTGGGTCGACAAGTTGCCCTGGGTGATGCTGGGCCTGTAGGACAGCACCTAAGGAGGATCTGCAGTGTTCTACAGCGGAGATGGTCTACGGTCAGCCGCTGAGGGTTCCGGGGGATTTCCTCCCAAATGCATCAGCTCCCTGGTCTGCCACGGCCCAGCGAGTTTTTCTGCGAGACGCAGCGGAGGCTTTCGCTCCAGTCCCGACTGCTCAGCACGGTGCGCCGGGGTCTCAAGTTCCCGCGGAGCTACGCTCGGCTGGGCACGTTTTCATACGGCACGACACACACAGAGGCCCCCTGCAGCCCCCTTACGACGGACCTTTCCGGGTTTTGGAACACGGTGACAAACACCTGGTGGTCGACATGGGCGGCAAGGCTGAGCACGTCTCGGTTGACCGGGTGAAGGCTGCTCACTTGGACGTGGACCGGCCGGTGGTGCTGGCTCGGCCGCCGAGACGGGGCCGACCCCCGGCTTCGTTTCCTGTCAAGGTGTGTGGGCCTGTTGTTCCGGTCCCTCCTCTGTCGGGGGCTGCACAGGCGGAGGTAGCTGCACCGACTCCGGTGCGCAGGTCTCGTGGGGGCAGGCGGGTTGTTCCTCCCCGCCATACAGATTTTGTTTACACGTGAATTCTGGGGGGGCTTGTGTGGTGACACGTTATTGGACATAATTCACCTCTCGTATTGTGTTGCCACGCGGACCCTTTAGTAGGGAACACCTGTAACTTCAGCTGCCATTCCTGCTAGCGCATCAAGCAGAGCAGTCATGTGTTAACCTCTCTGATATTAATTGGCTAATAAAGATTGGAACTCCATTCTGAATACACCGCCTCCGACTCCGTTTTCACGGCACTACAATGTATTACTTTTTTTTAGTAACGACCCCATCTCTGCAACACAAAACAAAGAATTTCCGAAACTAAACAAAGTATTTTCATTTATTTATTACAATTATAACTACAATCCGAAAAAACACGGGAAGCCTGGCTTCCGTTGGCCTCCAGGAGAAAACGCCACTGCGACGTACTTGTGAAGCTTTTCCAGAAGGCGGTTAGATCACCGGACGACAGATTCGGTCTCCGTGTGCACAGACAGGGCTGCTGTTAACGTCGGTCTGTACAACGGAATTGTGCCAAAACTACGCCAACCGGCTGCGGAGGGAGACTCCCCCCCTTCACTGGAGAACTGCGCTAAAACAGCTGATCACAACAACAAAAAAGCACAGGCCTTTGCCAGATGGTATATTACGCAGTTTTTTTTCTGCTTCCAATAGTTCTCTCTTTTTTCACCATACCTGTGTTTGCATCACTGTATAAATTAATAAACATACATACTGTATGTAAAATGGATATATCCGCCTTCTTTCATTTATCTTTCCATTCCCACAACAATATATATAAAGAAATGGCATATTTTGGACACAGTTCGAATGGTGATTAATCATGATTAATTAATTTTTAAGCTGTGATTAATCTGATTAACATTTTTAATCGTTTGACAGCCCTCGTTTTTATATAAATGGATCAAGACAAAAAGTGAGAGAATCTTTTTTCCTGAAACTTTCAGAATCTCTTAACGCAGAGCGGACACATGTTTACGTATAAAGGACATGAGAAAGTGGATTTTGCATAATAGGTGACCTTTAAGTTGAATTTAATGTTTTTTATTTTAACCAAATATCATTGCTTTCTACTAACCTAATACAGTTATGTGTAATCTGTTGACCTAATACAATTAAAGTCAACGCTTCAGTGTTTTCAGCGTCTTAAGTATCTTTTTAAGTCAAAGACTATTGAAAACATATTTTGAGTTGTATCTCAGAGGAAACATGATGTTGTGAAACAGAAAACTTTTGAGCATCTCTGGCTTATTTTGTAACACAACTTTTCCTGATTCTGGTAAAATAGAGTTCAAAATTAGTTTTACCAGCTAATACAATGATTCATTTATCTAAACATCTCGTATTATTTCATGAAATCTTAACAAGCACATTTTCACTTGTTCTATTGGCAGATTTATTTGACTTAAAAGCGAGAATACTTTGTTTTCATTATTGTTTACCTGTTTTTGGAGCAGCATTTTTTCCAGTAGTATATTTCATCCTATTATAGTATGGGCAAATACTTTCCAAACTCTCCATAAAATGTTGTGTCTTCTGAAACGCTCGGAAAAGAATTGCAACAAGATCCTATTTCTCATCTGCCCCTTTATTTAACATGCTTCAGATTCTTACAGTTTATGACGTCAACGTTTATCAAATTTGTGTTTGTATTTACAAAATATTTTCAGGTAAAGGGATCATTCCTATGCACTTCAATACATACTCATTACTAAATTCATCCTTGCTGCATGCTTCAAAAAATACCTGAAAAACCATTTGGACCACTGTATGATACCTGGTTTTATACTGTTTTCACATCGGTGTTATTTCATTTATATGTTAAGTATAGTATATGTTGTTCTCAAAGTTTGCTATTTGATTGAATTGAAGCTGTTGTTTGTATATTGATCTTGTGTTTTATATAAAATGGTGATTTATAACATTGTTCAGGGAGAGGCATTACATAAGCGAAGTGGGTTTTCGACTCTTCCTGCACGGTTTATAATTTCTTAGTTATGTTTGTGTATTTTTCAATTGTGTAAAACCATTAAACCAAACCTTCATCTTTTTCAAATATTTTATTATAAATTAAAAAAAGGCAGACTTGTGGGGAAGCAGTTGAAATCAACTTTGTCTGGAGACATTTTGAACAAGCAGAGCCTTAATTAGAGAACGTTACTGCACAGGAGTGAACATGCAACACGCTAAGCACACATACAATACACATTCAAAATGTAGTTATTACTCTGATTTTTTATGAAACATGTTCAAGTATAATCATTATTCAAATTGATGTTTGCTTTATTTAAAGCAAATATTTCCAGCACAGTCGGCCACCGTATATAAGAGTTGAAAAGATCTATAATTGTTTACATACTTCATCAATCCCACTTAACATGACACTAATAACTCCTATTGCAAAGCACTGAACTCGTAGAGCGTCGTAAGAGCAACAAAAGCCAGAACGCTCTGATGAACATTGTGTTTTTAAACGTTAATTCAAAGTGTGTACACATGGGGGAAATCCTCCAAACTCATAATAATGCATGAAAAATAAACTGTTCACAATTTCAGGATGCACATGTTACAGAATGGGACACATACAGAGAGTGCTGTACATACTCCACAGAGATGTCCCCATCACAGTCTGAATATGCAGAGGGACAGGTATACATATTTTCAAATTGAAAACTTTCCACTTGGAGAAAAAGAAAAATATGTGAACACAGATTTCACACAATGGATACATTCATTCATGTGTCCCTGGAGTTTTCTCTATTTCCAAATGTAAGAACATTTCCACATCATTTCTGAGTTAAATGCTACTCTCGCTACTTGTTATTGACCCAGGTGTGTATGTGACAAAGCAGCCGCTGAGGGCATCATAAAAAACACATTCAGTCAGACTGATCCACAGTCCTTCAGAAACAAAACGCTGATAAATAGTATTATCTTATTTCTACTGTCCTTTCTTTACTGGATTTCCGGGGGGGCTTGTCCTTTCATAGCGCTAATAAGCAAAGACGAGGTCATAGGTCATCTGGTGAGCGTTGTCCCATGCGTACAGTTTCTTGTCCATGGGGCAGTAGGCCACCTGAGAGGTGTGTGTGTGCATGTTGGTGAATGCCAGGCTCGGCACGGTGTGTGTGAGCGTGTGTGTGTCAAAGGCGTAGGTCACGTTAGCGTAGCGATGTTCCATACTGTTCACTGCGTAAAGCACGCCGCAGACCAGGAAGCTGTTTCCGTAGCGACCGCGCCGCAGACCTGTGCGGAAGCTCTGTATGGGCTGCAGGTCTCGGTGGCGCAGGTGGAGGAGCAGGATGACCTCCTGGTGGAAGCCCTCCGTGTCCAGAGCCGGGTACAGCAGCCACAGGCCGGACTCATCCACAGCAAACTGCACCTGGAGACACACATGCTGTCACTGGGGGGGACCCTCTCTCAACCCTTACATGTCTCTGTATCCTGGGGGATACATTCATTTGACAGGCTGTGGCAATGTGTAAAGAGGGTGTAATAACACTGTAAATACGGTGGTATATATGGAAAATATTGCTTCTACATGGGTGTAATATAGGTGTAATAACAGTGAGAGTAACATGGGGTTAACATGGGTGTAATAGGGGTGTATTATTGTGTAATCGGGGTGTATTTCAGGGTAAAGTTAATCCGAAAGTTTATATAATCCAATTAACCAGTGTCAGGGTTTTTTCTAGAAAAATATAGTATGAGGGCAATCCTGTGGCGCTGATCTTGTTTATAAGATATATCAATTCTGGAAAGAACATGACACCCGTAAACAAGATGGCGCCACGGACGTAAACAACAACGTGACTTCGGAGCTCCCCAACAATAAAGCTGTCTCTGCCGTCTAACGCTCTGTTTGACACAGTTTTTATATTTTTGGAGTAATTATACAGTTTTTTGACGAACAGAAATATTTTTTTAACTGGCCATACTGTATGAACTTGACTCAAAGACTGTATTCATCTTCTCTTCTCACTTTCTGAAACTAAATAAATAAATGCTTTCTGCATAATCTTTACTTTTCCTTTGAAAATATTTTACGTGGGTCCAGTCAGTAAAATGTCTTTATATTTGAGTCTGTAAATGAACAGTGAACTAACTCCAGCAGTAGTGTATACCCCACTACCTGTATGTGCCCTTTTGAACTCTAGTAATTTGTAATGTTTTTGTTCTCCGCGCTGAACTTCTATGACCCTCTGAAGTGTCCCTGGTGTATATCCCACTAGTAAATCCAGTCAGACAGACAGACAGACAGACAGACACACAGACACACACTGTCCAAATCTCCAACAACACACACACACACACACACACACACACACACACACACACACACACACACACACACACACACACACACACACACACACACACACACACACACACACACACACACACACACACACACACACAATACACACACTCTCTCTCGCACACACACTCTCTCTCTCTCACACCGACTCTCTCTCTCTCTCTCCCTCTCTCACATTTGATATCTTTATTTAACTCCTTCAGACACACACTCTCTCTCTCTCAAACACACACACACACACATA